CTTTAATTTTAGTAAAATAGAGTATATTTTATATGTTTATTGGCCATTTATATATTTTTGTATATTTCTCATTCTTCTATATTAGCCCATTATTGTGTAGCGGTATTTGTATTTTTCTTGTTGATTTGTAGAAAGTCTTTATATACCCCAGATATTAATCTTTATCTATCATGACATTTACAAAATATTTTCCCCTGTTTCTCTTTTTATTTTTTGACTTTTTTTTTGTGTGTGTGAGGAGGACTAGCCCTGAGCTAACATCTGATGCCAATCTTCCCCTTTTTCTTGAGGAAGATTGGCCCTGAGCTAACATCCGTGCCCATCTTCCTCTACTTTACCTGGGACACCGCCACAGCGTGGCTTGACAAGTGGTGCATCGGTGCGTGCCCGGGATCCAAAGCTTCGAACCCTGGGCTGCAGAAGTGGAGCATGCGCACTTAACCGCTTGCGCCACTGGGCCGGCGGCCCCGTTTCTCTTTTGAATTTTAACTCTGAGTATGGTTGTTTCCAGCAAGTTAAAAGTAACGCCATCCAGGGGCTGGCCCTGTGGCTTAGTGGTTAAGTTTGGCATGTTCCACTTCAGTGGCTCAGGTTTGGTTCCCGGGCGTGGATGTACACCATTCACTGGTGGCCATGCAGTGGTGGTGACCCACATACAAAACAGAGGAAGACTGGCACAGATGTTAGCTCAGGGCAAATCTTCATCAAGCAAAAAGAGAGGAAGATTGGCAACAGATGTTAGCTCAGGGTGACTCTTCCTCAGCAAAAAAAAAAAAGTAATGCCATCCACTTTTTTCAAATTCTTCATAATATTACTATTATTTCTATTCACAAGAAAGATGTTGAGGAAAAGTTTGAGATGCTTTCTTTTCAACTAAAATACTTCTGCTGTTGTTTTCTGTCTATTGGGAGGCAATTGCCTTTTCTAACAGGAACTGAAGGGCAGAGAAGATTTGAGAGATAAAGGACTAAGTAGCATAAACCAGCAAAGTAGAAGAGCTTTTCAGTTCCTCTTAATTATTTTATTACTGTACAGAACATTAGATAGGACCATGTGCAAATGTATGAACAAAAGTGACATTCTATGGCCAAATATAAAATACTTTCAGATTGTTTATTCTTGAATAGGTTTCATACTACATCTTACCTCACAATGTCCAGATTGTTTTAAAAAATGACTTTACTTCTAATACTGGATTGACCTTTAAAACTAATACTTGATCCCTACAATGAAACTCCCAAGTAATGCTAAGTCAAAAAATTGGTATCCTTATTTCTCCTTTCTTTTTTTTGGAAAAATGCATTTCTTACGTTATCAATCCCTTTCGGTGCTCATGAAACACAAAACCTAAAAAATCTAAAAACTAAAATAGAGAGAAAAAATTAAATAAGGGTGAATTGGAAGTATCCCCCTCAAACTTAATTCATGGAGCTTTCATGGAGGTATATAGACTACTACATGATCTAGTGAATTTAAGGAATAAGTTTGCTGTTGGGCAAAAGAGAAAAACCAGTGAGTATCACTTATTCATTTAGAAAATATTTACTACATGCCTAGTAGTATCAAGGAATGTACAACAAGGATCACGATAGAACCACATCTGGCCCCCATAAATTAGTCTATTGGAGAAGACAGATAATCAGTGATCTTTGCAAATACATGCTTCTATTAGTTATGGTAAAAGAAAAGAATAAACAAGATCTTTTAAAAAGTTTGAAGACCTTGAATATTATCCAGGGTCATATTAAAAATATTTAACAATTGGCAATGCCACCAGGCAATCAAAACACACAGAAGCTGGTCAGACACTCCAAATACTGGATGAACATTATCCCTGGTTATATTAATTTAGGGATTTCCACTAATAGTAAGTGAAATGATAGTGCAAAAATAGTCATTCTAAATAAGTCTCTTTTTAAGTTGTTGGTAACAGATGCAAAGTCAGTTTAAAAACAGAATATGAGAAAAATTCAGCTAGATTTTAAATTTTTGGTATTTTTCATTTCTTAATTTTTAGTGAATTTATTTTGTAAAATTTTATTATTATTTTGAATAGGTAATACATTCACATGATTAAAAAAATCAAAAGATATGAAAGGCTATTCAGCTCAAAGAGTCTTTTCCACCCTGTCTCAGGCTCGCAGTTCTCCTCCCTGGGGGAAACCAACGTTGCCCCTTTTCTTGTGCATCCTTCCAGAGATACTATATATATGGTTTTTTGTTTTTAATTTAGGTTAATAAATAGCCTTAGATTGGAGCTTGTAGACCAACATAGAAAAGAACTGGCAACCAACTAAGACAAACAAGAACAGTAAGAAATGGTACTTTATTTAGTCTTATCGCAATGGACTGCAAGTTTGTGTCCCCCACCAAATTCATATTTTGAAACCTAATCCCCAAGGCTACGGTATTAGGAGGTGGGGCCTTTGGGGGTGATTAGGTCATGAGGGCAGAGCCCTCATGAATGGGATTAGTGTCTATAAAAGAGACCCCAGGGAGATCCCTCAGCCCTTCTGCCATGTGTGGTTATAGTGAACAGACAGTAGTCTATGATCTCACCAGACACTGAATCTGCCAGCACCCTGATCTTGGACTTCCTCTAGAATTATGAGAAATAAATTTCTGTTGTTTATAAGCCACCTAGTCTTTTTTGTTTTGTTTTGTTATAGCAGCCCGAATGAACTAAGACATTTAGGAAAATGAGTTTCAGTAACTCATAGGAAAGGGCATTCTGTCTACTGCTATATTCTGGGTCAAAGATGCTCCCTTAAGAAAGAAGGTTTTGACTGTATGTTTTAAGGATGGAATATTTCAAGTTTATTACATATATCAAGAGTTAAAGAAATCTAAGTATAGTTTTTTGAAAGGATTCCTGATTTATTTTTTAAATTGAGATATAATTCACATGCCATAAAATTCATCATTTTTTATTGATGTCTTAATAGTTTATAACATTGTGAAATTTTAGTTGTATATTATTGCTTGTCAGTCACCATATAAATGCCTCCCTTCACCCCTTGTGCCCACACCCCCAAACCTCTTGCCCCTGGTAACCACCAAACAGTTCTCTCTGTCCGTGTGTTAGTTTATCTTCCACATATGGGTGAAATCATGCAGTGTTTGTCTTTCTCTCTCTGGCTTATTTCACTTAACATAATACCTTCCAGGTCCATCATAAAATTCATCATATTAAGTGTACAATTCAGTTTTTAGTACATTCACAAGGTTGTGTAACCATCACTACTATCTAATTCCAGAACATTTTCATTACTCCAAAAACAAATTCCACACCTATTACAGTAAATCCCTCTTCCTCTTGTCCCCTAGCCCCTGTAAACCACTAATCTACTTTCTGTCTCTATGGATTTGCCTATTCTGGACATTTCATACAAATGGAATCATATAATATGTGGACTCTATGTGTGGTTTCTTTCACTTAGCACACTACTTTCAAGGTTCACCATGTTGTAGCATGTATCAGTATTTTATTCCTTTTTCTTACTCTTGCTTTTTAAAAGTTTTGGTAAAATATATATAACATAAAATTTACCATTTTAACTATTTTTAAGTGTATAGTTCAGTGGCATTAAGTACATTCACATTGTAGTGCAACCATCACAACTATCCATCTGCAGAACTTTTTCATCATCCCAAATTGAAACTCTGTACCCAGTAAACAATAACTCCCCATTCCTTGGAAACCTGTATTCTCTTTCTATCTCCATGAATTTGACTACTCTAGGTACCTCATATAAATGGAATCATACAATATTTGTCCTTTTGTGTCTGGCTTATTTCACTTAGCATAATGCCTTCAAAGTTCATACATGTTGTAGAATGTATCAGAATTTCCTTCCTTTTTAAGGCTGAATAATATTCCATTGTTATGGATATACCACATTTTGTTTATCCATTCATCAGTTGATGGATATTTGGGTGTTTACACTTTTTGACTGTTATGAATAATGCTGCTATGAACATTCATACACAAGCTTTTGCATAACCATATGTTTTCAATTCTCTTGGGTGGTAGAGACTTTCAGAGTGTAGAGGAATTTGATGATTGATAATTGATGAATTTGATGATTGCTAAACATTGCCCAGAGATGGATACTTTGATCATGACCCAGGGATGGACAATGACCACAGGGACTCTGTGTCTCCTTTGAGGAAAGGGTGAGAAAGTCTTCATTTGCATAAAGGATAGTTGTATCTTGTTAGATAGAAGCATAAAGTTGTTACAGTTTTCCTTTGGAAGTTTACGTATATGTACAAGAGTGTATATGGATGCTAAGTAGCCAAACGGATGAACTGTGCTGGTTACTAAGCTATTGTCTCTCAGACCCCAACCCACCTTTCTATCCTCTGTGAGTAAAGAAGGCTGGGGCTCCACAAACCATATTTCTCCTTTGACGGCAGACTCCCTGTTAAATGCTGCCACTGGGGAGGGCAGCACTACAGGGAAACTGAGGGAGAAGAGCCTTACTCCTTTCCATTCCCTTGCTTTTCCTGGCAGTATCACCCTAACTCTTCACCCTGGCAGTAGCTGTTGACTCCAGTGTCCAGTTTTTTCCACACTCCCAGAACCATCATGCTGCCTCAGTTATATCAGAATCAGCTGGCTGTGATGTCATCTACTTTATTCCTTAGGAGTCTGGGTCCCAGCTCCACAGGGTCCTTTTCTGAGCTCCTGAGGTATCAGAAAAGCTGGTAGAAGCTACTTCCTGTAGTTCTACCTCCACGGCACCTCAGTGTTCCCTTTTTATCTTTTCCATTTTCCAGTGTTTGTTTAACTAGTTCTATTTATTAAATTTATATATGTCTGTTAAAATAACTGGTATGATTTCTGTTTTTCTGACTGAACCCGAACTGATACATAAAGAAAGTACTAGTCAAACTTCTCAGGCAATGAGCAATCACTCATTACCTTATGTCCAAACCGAATTCTTTGGGCTGTATGATAACATAATATGAAAGTAAGGATATTTTAATTGGTTACCCATTTTCCAAGCAGAGCTCTTCTTTCTTCAAATACCTACAATAAATAAAAAAGGATGGAATGATTTCATATTTCATGGTTCAAAATACCCATTACAAGAGAGACATCATTAATGTATCAATAAATAAATGTTGACAGTCTTTTCCTTGTGTCAACTGGATATAAAAAGACAGATTTCATTCCAGAGAAGGTATTTTACTTATTTTTAACTTGGGCAAGGTATCTTTTTTTCTCAGTTTCTCCATGTGGAATAATTTATCTTAAAGAAGAAGTAATTTTTTTTAAAGGCAAGAAATAAGAAAAGAATGGAATTGTAAAGTGAAGTCAATTTTAGAATTTGAAAGGAGATGAAAAAACTGACAAAGGAAAAACAGGAAAATGGAGATCCTCCCTCAAAATATTTCAATATCAATACTATGAGGACTTGTGAAACTTATGAATGAGCAGCTCTGTTTTCATATTTCAGTGTGCGCACATATCAGTGGGTGTACATGTACTTACACGCTTATAGGATTAGAAATTTGTTTATGTGCACCTCTGGGCTTACAACTCAGGGTTTGTCTGTATAGCTTTGTTGTTATATACTATTTAGGACAGAAACCATGTCTAATTCATCTTGTCTACAGCGTGGAGTGCGGTACACAGCATATTACAGGTACTCATGTCTGCTGGATTGAATGAATGTGGTTGCGACAATGAATATCCTTATGGAGGTATTGGTACAATGTGAGTGTATTTATAATATTGGTGTGGAGGTGTTTTTCTGAGCATCAGTCACTTGTGTATTTGAACGAGTGAGGTAGGGAAGACTAATTGGAAAATGTCTGGCAGAGGAGGGAGTTATGGAGGGAGGAAGCAAGAGAGAGGAATGAACAGACATGAACGTCTGTCTCACTCCCACACACACACCTTGTGTCGGTTTTCAAAACTGGGATTGATGTTTTTCCCTTCCTCTGAGCACTACCTAAATTCTCTAGCACTGTAAGAATGTTCCTACTCACAGAGCAGCTCAGGCCTATTTCTTCCCTTTTTGTGGAGGAGGATGAGCAGCTGGTTTTATGCTTCTAACAGATAATGCTTTCCTTCCTTTTTTAGACTCTTAAACTCTAGGTTCAAGGGACATACAAAATAGGCATTGAAATAACTGCTTCAACAACAACCTCAAGGCCAGGGAAACGTCAGTTTTGCTCCTGGCCGGAGAATCTCATACATCACAGGTAGACACTTTTTGCACATTAGAGAAGAAGAAAAAGAATGCCCTTCACCCCTTCCCCCTAATTACCTGGGCTACTAGGGCCCTCAAATAATGGCAATAGATAAACTCAATTTCTAGATGAAAATAGAAAAGAACATATAAAATACAGAAGATTCAAAAATCTGGATTCAAATATTTCCTGACCTCTTCTCCTCTATCTAACCAAATCTGATCAATAATCCATTGCCCAACCCAAGTCACCAGCACTAGCACTTTTCTGATGCCCAGTGACCTAGCTCCTCCCAACTTGTACTCTACTCACAGCCCAGCTCCCCTTGGACTATACTGGGTTTGCTGTGGCTCTCTGGTTGTTTCTGTTCATTTTATCTTCCCAGATAGATTACAACCACTTTCTCTATATGCTCCACGACACCTGCTGATTGAACAATAACAAAAAGCTTCAAAAGCCATAGAATTTTAGAGCTAAAAGAAATCCTAAAGATCTTTTTGTTCAATTTCCTTATTTTAGAGAGGACAAGCAGAGGCCCAAAGGGGTTACATTTATAAATTAAAAAAAAATAATTGATTCCAGACTGTCTGTTCAGCTCAACTCTGTACTTGGTTCCTCACCAGAACCTTGGTCTTCCCTATCCTGACTTCCAGCCCTACATTCTCGATGAACTGCTGCCCATGCTTTGGCCTTACAGCAGGAAGAAGTAAAGGTTAGGTCAAGACCACAACCTGCTTTCAAGAGGAGGATGGGATGACCATCATGATGCCCAATGACAACATGGGGCATTGAAACAATGGGGCACTAACTTGAAGGTGAGAGGAGAGTCAGCAAGATGATAGCAGAAAAGGAATAGGGTGGGACCTGGGGAGAGTTATTCAGGCTAAAACAATAGTCTTTACACGGCCAATGACCAAGGCTAAGCAAGGTCCAAGCAAATCCAGTTCCTTCCCAAAAGTCATCTAGACCCAAGTAGAAATTGATGGGAGTGAAGAGGCAGAGGAGAAACACTAGACAAACTCAAATCTGGTTCCAACTCTACTCTCGACCAGAAATAGAATTTGGGACAAATTATTTAATTATCAGGTCCTCAGTCAGACTTAGAGTCTTATATTCTCTAGTTTGGAGCAAGTCTTCATTCCAAAGATTTGCAATCAGGTTCTTCATCTTAAAGAGCTGGAAAACAAAGTATCGATTCAAAATGGAAATATTAAAATGGATCCTCTTGCCTCACAGAATGCTGCAGTCTGTTTATATCACAGTTTACTCAGAGCCTGCTGTTAAGTCAAAATCCTACGGTTGTTATTTTAGTCTGTTGACACTGCAGTTACATATTTCAACATGTGACATCATTACAGTATAGGAGTAAGACATTTAGGGGCTCCTAAATTATGATTGATTGATAGCGGCTTTTTCTCAGAACACCTTTTTAACATGTACTGTTCTACATCTATGAACCTACTCAAAAAGAAACGTTGGTTACTTTCAATTAAAACACTAGATGGCAAAGAAATACATACTTTTAAAACATTCCTCCTCTCAAAATTCACAATGCCTAAATTATTCCGAAATCTGTTACATTTGCCTATGCTGATGATGCTATTTTTTTAGGCATCTGAATTTGAATTCAATCTCTCTGCTTAAAGCCTGCTGTGATGTTAAAATCCCGTGACTCTTATTTTAGTCTGAAATAGTTACATACTTCACATTTTACTACAGAATAGAAGAAAGACAAAATTAAGACAAAAACAAAAATCAGGACCTCAAAATTACATTGATCATTGGTGACAAATGCCTTGTTTTAGAAGTGTAGAAAACTCCTTGAAATTATTGTCTGGACACCTTCTGGCCAGCTGTATCCTTGGCATCTATTTTTAATCCCTTTCAGACAGTCAGAATGTCAGATGTGGAAGAGACCTTCAAGGTCATCTGATCCAACCCACTCATTTTATAAAGGAGGATAGTAAAGCCCAGAGAAGGTAAGTGACTTACTCAAGTCATGCAGGAAATTACTGGTACAGTTGATCTGGAACCAGAATTTTCAATTTCCAGAGTTATTGTTCGTTTACTTTTATTTATATTTGTTTTTAAGATTGTTTTAAAATTTGAAATTTTATTGCACTGTATAAAGTGAAAAATGAAAGCTCTTTTCTAACAGGCCACCTCCTCCAAAGCCATCCAACTCTTTAGGGGAAACCACTATTAATAGCTTGGTATATGTATGTACACATTCTGTGTGTATGTCATGCACATTTATGTAAATACATATGTATATATACACATACAAGATTTTAAAAAATAATTTTACTCCAAACTAGAACCTAACTAAACCAAAAAATAATTTTCTGGAATAAAATGAGAGGTCTGAACAACAAAATGAATATTATCTCTAAAAATTATCATTGAATTTGACAAAATCTATTCAAGAACCAAGACAATGTAATGTTTGCTGTGATACACTGCCCAGATCCCCTCCAGGACTGAAGGATTTATTCCCCCACCTGTTGGGAGTGCTGCTGGCTGCCAGCCATGAGCTTGAGTAATCTGCTTCATTCAAGGTCCTATCCATTGAATGGTCAGTGTGCAAGTATAAAGGCCAGGCCCCCTTGACGTAATGTAAGACTCTGAAGCATCTTCAGGGTGTGTCCTATAGGGTTGAGAAGGTCTTATTGAGACTGCATCAGAGCTCAGCTTCTTCCTCTGCCCCGAACCCATGTCCTCTCCTTCTCTTTCCTTCCCTTCTCGGGTGCTGATCCTGAGAGCCTTCCCCAATCAACATCCTACACACCAATCTCAGAGTCATCTTCTCTAGTAACCCAACCTACAGCAGGCAATCAGGCAATTCAGATACTTTTTCTCCATAGCTGCTAAATTGATCAAGACTCCTAATTTTTCAAAGAAAATTTCTGAAAATCAAAGCATCCAACGAATCTGTATTTCAATTCAAATCAATTTTTCACATGTTTGTAAAACCTTCACAATTCTATGGGAAAACAGATTTCAAAAGTAAACATTGAAGTTTTTTGGGGGGAAAGCAGGGAAGCTGTTATATAAACTGTTGGAGAGCTAAGAGCATTGCAAACAGGTGCTCAATAAATAACTGTTGAGCTGAATAAAAAAGACTTTCAACAGACTTGTTCACAGCTAGATGAACCCTGAATTTCTCTCTCTTTCTCTGCTTTTCCTTTTCTTTCTCCTGGTCCTTCCTTTCTTTTCTATTTCTCACTCTTCGTTCCTCACTCCCTGTATTTTTTTCCTTTTCGGTCTCTCTCCCTTTTATTTCTCACTATTCCGATCTCTATGCTGGCTCCCTGTCTTTCTCCCCAAATTGCTCAAGTTTCACATTAGAGGAGTAGAAATAGGAAAGTACTGAGTAGGAGGGGTCAGGATTGACGCTCCAGCTTTGCCAGAGTGACTAGCATATCTGTTAGGGTTAGAGAGGGAAAGGTCAAACCCAGGCTAAGAAAAGAGAGGTGTCGGGACAAGAAGGTGAGAGGCAACGAAGAAGGTCCCCGAGAGTACAGCTGAACCCTGACTCCATTCCTTGTTCTTCGAGAATCAAATCAGGCACTGGAGATGCAGAGAGAAAAGACAGAATCTCAACCCTTAGCACAGTGGAGTCTGGTGGGAAAGTTGGTGAACAGTGATGAGAACAAAGAAAAGCAAGCAGGAGGAGGTTTCCCAGAGAAAATGACACTTGAGTTGACTCTTACAGGCGGCAATGAGGAGAGCATGTGCAAAGGCATGGAGGTGTGAGACAGCATGGCTCACCCGGGGGCCACTTCACTTGGCGTGGACATAGGATGAGAGGAAGCAGTGGCAGCGTTTGGAACTGGGAGGTTGGCTGTGGTCAACTCATGAAGGGTCCTCAATTCTATGGGTGGAGGTTTGGAAATTACCCTTTAGAGTGGCCCATTTTACATAATAGGATTAGATTCGTACTTTAGAAAGATCATTCTGGGACCAGAACAGAGCATGGATTGATAAGGGATAGAGGCAGCAAAACCACTTAGGGAGTTACTGCAATGTACTAGGCAAAGGATGATAAGGGTGTGAACTGAGAAGGTGGAGCTATATAGGTGAATGGAGAAAAGAGGCCTCAGTGAAGAGATCTAGGAGGAAGATCCCAGAACTTGAAAATGAATTGGATGTGGAGGTGAGGGGGTGCTAAGTAGACATTCCTCCCTGGGCCTCTCAAACTCCTAAATGTCTTAGAATACCAAGAATGCAAGGACCTGACCACTCTATTCTTGGGCCATCTCTCCAAGTTGTGTTTGCAGCAAGGCAACCTTGAGCAATGAGGTATTGTCTCCCTTTGAGACTAAGAGCAGGTTTGCTTACTGCTTACTATAAAAGCAGTGGATTCCCTGGGCTCATTGTTCCTCAGCTGTGATGCAAACCCACGGTGTGTGTAGTATTTATCTGGGCCCTCTGCATCACTCCTGTGAGACAAGGTAGGAAAGGAGAACCAATGCAAACATGATGCTCATGCTGCTTGCTGCACTGTGAGTAATAAAGTTCTTTGTCTCTGCCCCAAGAATCCTGTGTCTTTTACTGTGAAACAGTACTGTCTTCTATGCCATAACAGGCTAAGTTATTAGCTTGTAAATTGGGGAAAACCAAATCTCAGACCCAATAGGGAGAAAGAAGAGTTCTGGCTTGAGTCACTTGATGTAAAGTGGTGCCTTTCACCAGCGATTGGAACTAGTGTGTAGAAGCAAGATAATGAGGTCAGTTTTATTGATGTTGATTGTACTTTACTGCCAACTAGGTGTGGTCCTTGTAACAGGTGCTCACAGACCCGTTGGTAAATTCTGCCTCTAACTGAAGCAGGAATAGAAATCCCCAGAAGTTGGCCAGTCTTACACCCCAGCATGATACTCAGCTTCCCATTGTTGCAATCCTTTGTTTAGTGTATTCTACTAGTGCCTCCCCAGAATGCAAGTAGGAAATCAACTTCTTAGGAGAACCTGAGTAATGTGAGTAATCAGTTGAGATTTATTCATTTTATTTATTTGGTTAAATGTGCAGCATTATCCAGTAACCACAGCTCTAGCAAGAAAATCTGTTGTTTGGGAACTCCTCACAGACTCTCCTCTCCTCGCTCATTCCTGTTGGTTCCAGCAGAGAACCAGTGATGGAAAAAAAAAGCATATGGGGTGAGAGAGAGGAGTGACAGTGGAGGAAAGAACAAATCTAAGACATTTTCATTGCAGGCAGGGACTCTGTGTCTATTGCCAGCCTTGCCCAAATAGCAAGAGCTCAATAAAAGTGTTTGAAAAAATCCTTCATTTTTTTTTCATCTATTACACAATCCTAAACAATTCCTGTTCATATTTTGATAACCAAAATTTTAATATATTTTTTTTCTTTAAGGCATAGATGCAACTGATAAAATAGCTCTAGTGACTTACCTGGTCATTCAAATGCTGATGGTTTAGGGGTGTCCAGGTACTCATCTTTGTCTGCATCTTGGGACCATCTGTGCATTTTGGAGGTGCAAATGCCATCATGAAATAACTGGATATTCTTCCATGAGAAAAACTATACCTATCAGAAGAAATGAATCATATAATCTTCAGAATACTAAAAATACTAATAACATACACTGTTGAGAGAGGGAATTGACGGAAGGAACATTTATTGGGAGCATTTCATATGTCAGGTACTTAATAAGTATGCTCAATTAAAGCTCATAACAATCTGGTGAGGTGGTGGGTTTTGGCTCATTTTACAGATGAAGAAAATGAGGCTCACTGAAGTTACATACCCTGCCCAAAGGTTATACAGACACTAAGTGGTGGAACTTGGAATTAGACTCAGGTCTGTTTAACTCTTTTTATTTTCATTGGACCACTGAGGAAAATCCAGAATCACTCCTAGCTAAGAACATACCATAATGACCAGAAAGTAGTATTTTAATTTATAAAATCATAGTGCAATATAAAACACCCTATCCTTGTCCCTTGTGACTTTCTTCCTCCCCTCCTAACTTTCTGACATTTAAATAAGAAGGGTTCTGACATGATACCATATTTAAGAAGAAGGGTGTAATGGACAAAGCCAAGCCTTTGGAGATGGACAGACTAGGTTTATTGAAGGAAATGTGCTGTTTTTATTTTTTTTTTTT